TTTAATACAGTGATTGCCCTATTATGGGCAAGTTGTTTATTTAATTTATATATTAGTCCAATTCTACTACATTGGAACATTGATGGAAGATACTGCAAAAACGGGAAAAATAGTCCATTTGTGAACTTCCGTAGCGTGCGCTGGGTAAACTGTTAAACTTTTACAAATAGCATGTATGACGGAACACTTCTATAAAAATACCCGCGACAGCATATGTCCATCTTTTAGGTTTGACTCACTATAACCTTTTTTATCAAATTAATGCGGGTAAAACCGCAGGGAACCTCTAATTGTAACATAAATATAATAGTTAGGTATATAGTATCGCTGACATTTTTTTGGAAATAATGACAACTATAAAACTTTTGTACATCACTTTGCTCTATTGTCAATGATTTCATATATTTTGGTATTTTTTCACATACTTATTGGGTTACATTATTGAAGTTTTTATACGGAATACTAACTTTTTTGAAAATACTCTATAACTTATGTTCATCAGGTATAATGTAGGATTCTAAAAATTATTTCAAAAAGATTGTGAATAGTAAATTTTTTAATAATAATAATAAAACCTAATTTAAATTACTTTATATTTCTCTCACCATTTTCTCTGTGGGTATGGCTTTATGCTTCATTTTTTACTTCTGTGTTTTTATTTTTATATATTAAATTAATCTACGGCCTCGATTGGATTAAGTATATTTTATTTGAGTTATACTTGTGAAAACTGTATAAGGCATATCAATGCTACTTCATCTCGTTTTATCCTTAGTTTTAACATGCTGTTTGTTTTCCATAAATAATAAAAATGGGTGCGTGTACTTATGTAGGCGCGTGAGAAGTTATCCTTCTTTGGCATTTTTTCATAACGCGCCTAAAGAAGTATAACTTCAAAAAAAAATGGTTGCCTGTAAAGTCGGTTTTACGGGCGAAGATTTTACGTGACAACGTCTTTTTCTCGGTAGAATATTTATTGATATGAATATAATTAAATTGCACAATAGGAACAAGGAATTGAATGAAAATAAGAATTGCACAAATTTTAACTATAGAAATATATTTTGTTTACTAAAACATTGTACATGTAAACTTAAACTTAACACGAGAGACTCATCGTAACGTTACCGAGCGTTACACTTTTTCATAAGTGACTCCCAGCCGCAACCTAATTTAAGACGTTGTCACGTCAAAATAAAAATATAAATAAATAAATTCTTCAAATCGGTCCTGTAGTTTCGGAGCCTATTCAATACAAACAAACAAACAATTAAATCTTTCCTCTTTATCACATTATAGTATAGATGATAGTTCAGAAAATTACAAGTTTGATTCCAGGGATACTCGTATATAGCGAAATTCGTTCTTACTGTATAGGAATGTTTGAACTCACCATAAGGTGAGTCAAGAATCAAATTGGCTGGTTTATATGAGAATAGGTTAAGAGCTTTTTGTATTTCAATCTCGGATTTTGTTTACTTGTAATCCAAGTTAGTACAATTCACGCTTTTTATATTTTATTTCAATAACTTATGTCCCAACCAGTAGGTACCACCAATACGTGTGTTTCGTTAAATGCAAAATTATTGTCTATGGCTACATAAGTGTTATGATAAAAAGTGAAACGTGCTATAGTATTAATGAGGGGTTGCTCGTAAGCGTATAACACCAACGCTCGTCGTCTGCGCTGCTTTAACATTTCCTAGAAGCTCGTCTAATAAAGGATCAGATCAGAATCCAAACACTACAAGGAAAACTCGGTAATTATTTTTACGGACTCCAGCTAGCGGAGTGTGTCGATGCATTTGCTGCGGCCGCCTAACTAGTACGTGACTTTTGATCCTTCTGCGCAATTACGGTGAAATTTACGTTGGCAAAAAGCGGGCGGTTAATAGACGCTGTGGCAAGGGCATTATTCTCGGCGGGCGCGTTTTTGTGCCGCTAACGGTAACCGAGTGATAGTGGGAACACTGTCCGGCGAGGGGACCCGGGGACGTCGCCTCGTTTGAGCGCGGCCAGCGGTTAAGTGGTGCTGCATGCTTGCGCTATCAATCACGGTGAGGCCGCGATTGTTTTTTGTCAATTTCACTTTGTTGGTAAACAATGCGGCGCGTTCGCGCGTTCGTTTCGGGATAACTTGATCATGAGGTTGATGAGGCGATTTGAGTTGGTGGAAACTTTAGGAACATTTAAAAGAGTTGTAAGTTTCCAATTTGAGAACAGACAGAGGAGGCCTCATTTCGTCTTCGTCGTTTTTAAAATTATATTCTTGCGTTATAATTCCGCGTACACAGGTAAATTGGAAAGTTGCAGAACTATTTCCTACCAATAATAGCCAGTCCTATTCAGGTATGAACTAAGGAGTGGAGGAGGCTATTTGCAGACGTGTTGTAAACACGGCGAGCACACATGCACGTGTGTATGAATGTAAGTATGAATGTAAATGGCCCCGAACAATGGTGACGCGAGCGGGTGAAACTGTTATGTAAATGCAGGCAGGAGCGGAGGCTGCGGCGCTGAAGACGCGGCCTTATCGACCTCCCCCTCCTCCCCCCTGCCCCCCGGTCCGTTGCTCCCCCGCGGCCCCGCGACCCGCGCGAATTTACAATGTCCCGCGCCGCCCCCCGCCTCACACCGCCACCCGCCGCCCGCCGTACAACCTTCGCAACCAAATCTAAGTTCTAATCGTGAGCGATAGAGCCCACATCGACTCCGGCCGCCCCGACGCCGCAGTGTGCGTGAGATTTTCTCGCCTGGAAATTCTAATGCGACGCGCGACTGCGATAAAAAATGAGCGGCTCGGGAAACGTGAATACATTACCGAGCGAGAGGGAGAGAGCACGCCCCCCGCTCCGAAGCCGCCTCTATGTGTTTTACACTACTTTATATTTTGATTCCGTCTGAAAAAGGGACGGAGGCTCGCGCTATGTGCCTCCGGACGGTTTTACGCCTGTTAAATATGTATCCAGCACCCTCTGAAGCTCCACGACTCTATCTCCGTTATGTAGATAGAGGAAGGCGATAAAATTAACGCGAACCACCCTTCTAACGCTTTTTTCAACAATCGTGTTACTTGTTAGTTTAATTAATTGATGTGTCCGTTTGTTTTTTTAAAGTCGAGTGCAGGAATTACCGTGTTAGGCGAAGCAATAGAAGTAATGATACGGCGTGGGAATCTAATGACTAATTAGTTCCGGCGGGGGCTCGCGGCGTTAGAGAGATGGGCGCCGGTAATTGCGGCAAAAACGCGCGGCGACAAAGGGTTGTTTTTGTGGTGCGGCCGCGACCTTGTACCGCACACCGCACAGGTGGCGCAGGGAAGGGTTGCGGCGCGCGTGCCGCACATTAGCGCCCGCGACGCTACCTGTACGCGTTTTATCAACATGCAATAAAAGGGTGAATAGTTTTTTGACGAGCAAGAAAAGGGGCTTGGTAAACGCGATTTCTGTTTAGATTCACCTCCCTAAGTATTCGGTGACTCTAACAGTGTTCAATGTTGATTAATGCATCCGTATCTTTTTATATCTTTGGTAATCTTTTTATTATATTAAATAAACAACATTTATCTGAAAATTTAGTTATCGTATTAAAAGAACAATACAAACACTTTGCGAAGATAAATTAGGTTTGTCTGACCTAAACAAACAGGACCCACGAATTAGGCCGTAGGCCGTATACAGAAAGAAAGCCGAAAGCCGATCGGCGCTTATCGGCGCCGATCCTTCCTACATAAAGGAAGCCGATTAAAGCAGATCAAGCAAAATGTCGGACTCATCGGACGCTGATCTGGTTTTGTTAGAAAATGTGTTATTAAAAATGCGAAAAAAAGCTATACATCCTATAAATAGAGAAAGGAAACGTTTCGGAGAATACCATCATTTCTTTATAAAAAAAAGGTAATTTGATGAACAAAGATTTTATACATATACAAGCGCCGATCGGCTTTCGGCTTTCTTTCTGTATACGGCCTTAGAGATATACCAACTGGTTGAGTCTATAATGTTCGCCATAATAGCAAAAGTAGTCAGTACTACATTGCCTAAAATCGATTCTTAATGTTCCCTGTTCGTTGATAAACTTATAGACCCTACATGGGAAATTAAGCAGCTATAGTGCATTAAGGCCAACATGAACCAAAGTTCTTAATTCTAAATTAAAAGTAAATCATAAAGATCTTTTTTTTAGAAAACTAAATCCATGCGGACTATGCAGCAGTAGGGGCTCGAACTCATCAGATCACATTTAAACATCTAGTAGTTAAATGCTTCAAAAAAATAACTAAAGCAAATCATATTTAAGCCTCACTCTATCTCTATTTTGAACAATTGACAAAGACGAAATGATGTGTTAAACACTATTAAGCCTTATTTTTAATTAAGAATTTTGGTCCAAGTAGGCCTAAATGTTTTCCTACCGCTGTCGAATCAGCGTAGGAGCTTTCAGTATAAGTAATTTTTTCGTTCTTTTATTTAGGCAACAGGTCAGCCAGGGCAATCGGTCAGAACAGTTCACGTATAACCTTTATCTCTTCTATTCGAAGTATATAAAAGCGCGTGCATTCATTAGCGCGAACGATCCAGGATTATGATTGTGTGTCATTAAATATTTCTAACACTCCACACCGCTTAGCCTAAAAGGTACATCAGTTTTATCTGACTAAGAAATGAGTAACCAAATCCTTTGTTCGCGTTAGATTAGTGGCCACCGTATGTTAGTGGCAGAGTCGTCCAGCGCGTGGTCCTCTAAAGGAAACAGGAGAGAGTGATAAGGGAGAATCTCTTAACTCCTCAGAACACCGTGGTATAGACGAGACTTCCTGTACCACGGTGCGCGCTTAGTGACACCACATCACGGCGTGATTGTAGAGGCTCCTGTTTTTAAATCACCACCACATTGCCAAGGACGCGGGTCGAAGCGGTGTTGGAATAACGCACGAGATAACTCCCCACCGTAGTATAGTCGGTGATAAGCATATAACAGCTGCAGTTGTTTTGTTACAGCGGCGACGCGAGTCATGGCTGGAGTACCCGTCGTCGCGCCTCCACCAGCTCCTGCGCAGCGCCTGCCGCGCGCCCTCCAGGCCTTCAGTCATCACAGGTCAGACACAATCTTATATTGAGCTATTGATGACCAGCTTACTAATTCAGCCTGAGCTCAGCTGTTGTACGGTTGAATGATCACTTTTATTTATATACTAGCGGCCCGCCCTCGCTTCGCTTCGGTGTAGAGCTGAAGTGCAGACTACAGTTTTTGTTCTCAGGCTTGTATTATACACAATGACATTCATCTATGATTCTTCTTATACCTGCATGCAAAGTCTCAACCCGATCGGTTTAAAATTGACAAAGTTTCATACAAAATTTCATTCCCTATTTTATCCCCTTGGGGGTAGAATTGATCAATATCCTTCCTTAGCGGATGCCTACGTCATAACATCTACCTGCATGACCAAATTTCAGCCCGATCCGTCCAGTGGTTTGGGCTGAGCGTTGATAGATCACTATGTCAGTCAGTCACCTTTGAGTTTTATATGTATATAGATTTATTAATTCAGATGATGAGTCTAGGTTATTAGTGTACTCTACCTCGAGCTGGGTATCGATTCTGCTACGCCAAAGTTAAAACCGTGTCTCAATAGCGGTTCAGTGGATTTAATTTTGACACAGTTCTTGTTACTAATAGATAAATAAAATAAAGAGATCCATCCAGAGAACAATAACATATGAGTAGGCAGATGTATTTGTAACTAGTTTTGTGTTTTACTGAAACGCCATTGATAAAAGATCATTACTTTAATGTAGCAGAATCGACACCCTGGTAGTGGGTGTAAGTGAAGTCGAACTTACAAAAACATCCCTACCTTTGTTATTTTTTATTGGAGCATTAAATTGCTGGAATTTTACATAAAAAGATACTTGTTGTAGAATATTATCAACTCGATCTTGGTGTCGAATCAACGTTCGTTCCATTTCAGGAGCGAAGAGCTTGGTGAACCAGATGGTATCGCAACCTTTCTGCGATTGTCGAAGTTAAGTAAATTTCTTGACTTGGCATAGGATGGGTAATCATTAATTCCCTATCCAGAACTCCTCCGTGCTGAGGACGTGCCTGTTAAGCTGTCGATTCCGGCTGCATCTATAGTCGTTAACACCCAACAATAACAAATCATATCAAATAAAAAAACAAATCAAATCAAAAATCATGTATTCAATCTAGGCTATTACAAGCACTTTTTAAGGTCGAGAAGCTACGCTTTCTTCACAAATCTACGGTAGCAGACCTTGTACTGAGGAGAACCGGCAAGGGCTGTTTTTTGAAGCAGCAAAAATATTAGTAAACGTCTTTTAACTAACAAAAAATTGTGTGTGTCAGCTCCGACGCACGACCGAAGTTTACACTCTAAAAACGATAGTCCTTGAACAGACCCAAAACAAAATCAAAGTTTTTTATCCGTTGCCATGGCTAAAAGTGAAAGGTGCGCAGATGAGGTTGCGCACAAAAACGTAACGAGGTCATTTGTTCAGTAGATTTTACTCCTCACATTTTTTTCATACCGGGCCCCTTATATATGCAAATCGATTCTTAAGGAGTAAACTCCAAAAAGCAGCTCAATATTTCCGTCTCGTATTCCGATAAAGACCTATTAAAGTCACAAAATATCACAAAACTCGAGGCTGTGCAAAAAGCGAGCTTTCATTGAAGACTCGGGTTGTGGAGATAAACGCGCGTTTTTCATGATACTCCTCACCGTTTCCACGTACCGGTGTGCGTTTATAAGGAGCTGCCGGTTTTTCTGACCACCGCACATCATGATGTCACTCGGCCGCGCCGTGCCACAGGTGGCTCACTACGCACCAAATGCAATACTTCGTACGAATGTCTCATTATAACCACTTAATTATGGTCAACACCCGTGTCGATAGCAAATAGTTCTAACGGGGGTTTTTTCTTTGTGTGTCTTTAATATTAATAAATAGTTAGCCCATTAGGATGTTTAACAAAAACTCAAATGAAGGAAAATAAATGTTCAAGGCACGCTAAGTAGTTAACGTTAGGTGTGTAACGGCTGCTCTTGGGTACGTCAATATAGTTTCAAGTTTGATTTATTGCGATTTTCTTTTTAAAGTAAAACTTTTATTACATCGTTACAACTTTTTTCCTTCATATTAAGCATGTTGCATTATATTTTAAATTATTAATGTAAAAATCTGACCTTATCAACAAGCATCAGCAAAAAAAAAAACGACGGGTTGCACTCCGGGAGTGCCGGCAGAAGTGAAAACTTGAATATTAATAAGTTAGGGAATAATTTTGCACGAATGTCTTTAATTATCAGTATAAAAGTACTATCATTAATGTGCTAGACTACAATATTTATTTATTGCGCTATCGTACACAAACATGACAATTTATATTACATTAAAAAGTTTATCTCTCATAATTTCTCATTTATGCGCACCTAGCGACATCTATGGTAAAAAATGCATTTTCTTCGCAATAAAGCTGCCACCTGGACGTCCTAGATAGAGACTTATTATTATAATACGATAAAATAAAATATTACTTTGATTCGTCCAATATACTGAAAGTCAACAACCTTTCCAATTTTATTGTTTTCCTCTCACGATCAGGACACGTGGCCTGTGATGCGATCAGCCCACGTGCCATGACGCGAGTTTAACATTTTTTACACATACAAAAAAAAGTGTACAACGCCGCTAAAGAAGTTTTCACTTCAAAAACAGATTCATTTTCTTAATTAAAGATAGAGTAAGGACTATTTTCATACATATGCGACAGCGATATAAGAAAAAGTTCAGACTGAAATCATAACAGTCATCCCGGTTTGGCGCAGGGCCATAAAATTATTAAACATGGTTTTCAATGAATTTTCGACATGTTCTATAGTCGACACTGAATATGTAGCTTTATAATAATATTTTAAGAGAGGTAACACTGTAACGCTTTACAAAATCAAATTCAAATTGTTTATTACAGACAACAAAATGGTCCATCAAATCGTTAGTAACAATATTTAACTTAAATGCTATGTTAGCATAAATATATCGCACCTTTATTCCAATACTGTCATTAAACAAAATTCTTCAAAAAATAGTTTTCAACGCCATCTATTTGCTACGTTATGAATCTACACATTTGCTCTGCTGCATAATTTGCTTTTTTATGATAATGACAGTATTGGAATAAAGGTGTGATATATTTTTAGGATTCAATCAATGTATGTTTTTTAAAAATTGAAATCGAACTACCTTCTGGTGGGGTAGTTTCTGTCGGTGGTAGGGCTCCAGGACTCCGCGGGGAAGGCGATGAGGTTCAACCCGGCGAGGTGGGACTGGATTCAAATTACTCTTAACATTAGGCGGAGCGGGGTAATTTATTGCGACTCGTATTAAAAAAAAGTCGGTCTTCAAGAAAGAAAGAAAGAAAAACATTTATTGACGACATACATTAACAATTACAATAAATACACAACAAACATAAAACAAAAGGTACATCGTCATCGTCTACAACCTCAGCATAATGTAGCAACGGCAAAAATGGATTGCCGCTGCAAGGCTGATATTCTGGAGGGACCTAATTTGGACATCGACGGGCGGAAATACAAGACAAACACTTAATACACAAAACAAAAAAACAAAAATAACACAAGAGGCTGTATGGGCTCGGCTCTTTGCCTACGAAAATTTGAATACACTAAAACGGGAGAAAAAAAAAGACAAAACCATAACCTAAGAGATGTTGTTTATGAAATAAATAAAGAACAAAATGTAGATAAGATGACTTGTACTAAAAGCCACGTCATCGGACCATTTAACAATGTGGCACAGCATCACAATATTCAATGGATTTTTCACGTGTTCTAAAACCGAAACTTCAATAAAAACATTACCATACAGACTAAACGATAAATATTACAAAAATTTTAAACATACCACATCATTTACTTATATTTCCTACATAAAATATTATTAACTGAAAATGTTAAATTGATTATAATTAATATTGCAAACTTATATTACTATTGTGAGTATGCTTACTAGTATTAATTAATGATTTATCTATAGATTGACGAAATGCCATATACAAGAGCTCGTTATGAGCTACGGAGTTGTTAAATTATGCAACGCTGACGCACGCGCCATGCTTCATCAACTGATTTTAACGATGTCTGTCTGTCTGTGTAGTGATGCGGATGAGCTCCAACAACAATAAGGAGAGTGTATACGCAAATCCATGAATGTGATTAGTAATTAATTACACTGTTGACAGGCATGATATACCTGTATAATTAAGATACTTACAGCTCAATAATACAAGGTCCCTAACTATATTAATAAGGAACGCCCATCTGGGAAATAATAATAACCTATCACTTAGAAAAAAAACGGTAAATTAAAACTGAGGAGCTCGATGGCGCAAGTGGTTAGCGCGTTCGGCTGCGATCGTTGAAGTTAAGCAACTTTCGCAGTGGTCGGTCATTGGATGGGTGACAAAAAATTTACTATCTCGAGTTCCTCCGTGCTTCGGAAGGCACGTTAAGCCGTTGGTCCCGGCTGCATCTGCAGTCGTTAGCACCCGCCAATCCGCATTGTGCCCGCGTGGTGGGTCATGGCCCTATCTCCCTATTCCATCCATAGGGAAGGCTTGTGCCTCAGCAGTGTGGTCATTAATAGGCTGATGATAATGAAATTAACACTACCTTTTGGTGGTGTTGTGCTTCTGTCGGTTAGTAAGGTTCCACGGGGCAGGGGCTTGGTCCAGGGTAGCCGAATGTGTGGAGCAGCACATCAACTATCTTCGCGACTGGACTCTGCTCACACTTCACATAAGGTGGGTTTATTTTCTGTACCTTGTATAAAAATGAACTTCGGTTTTGTAAGTTCGCCATTTCGAATTCAGTCTCCAAACGGGACAATGTTGAATAACTAACTTTTCTATCATTACCTCGTTTCTGAGAGTCTGTGGTATCTTCCTCGGGTGTGTGCGTGCGTGCCTGCGTGGGTGAGTGCGCGCGTGTGTGTGTGTGTGTGTGTGTGTGTGTGCGTGCGTGTGTGTGTGTGTGTGTGTGTGTAAAT